GGCTCTTCAAATGCTGCCAAATTACAAGTCCAAAAGTTCCAGCCAACATGGCAAGTATTGAATACCAGCAGGAGTTGTAATTCAGCAAGATGCAGGGAGCCACAGAGTCTCCATTCTCAAATCTCATCCAAGCATCTTTAGTTTTTCCCTATTTCTCTGGCAGGACTCATTTGCTTTTAACTGCTTTGCACTAAAAGGAATTAAAGCAGATTAAACTTTTCTCATCATTTTATTGGGAAGTTAGGAAAAAACTTTCTTTGCTGAACTTCTATTCGTCCACTTTTAAAGGCTTAAGAGGCAGAAATGATAAATTACTGCATTTTAATTGCAAATATATTCAGCTCTGGTTCTGTTTGAACTCATACTGACAAAAATGGAACAATTTGACACAATGTTTTTCTGCAATGTAGTTTAAAAAGAATTGGTGGGAAGTCATGAAAGCGAATGTCATAAAACTGTGCTGCCTTTTTAATAATTTTTTTTCGGTGCAGTGTCTTATTCAAATCTTAACAGGTTTGCCTCACATATAGCTTAACATAGTTGTCAATGAAGTAAACAGAATAGTTAAAATATAACTGAAGGAAGAACAAATATTTATATATTAGTAAAATAGCCTTCCCTAATCTGGTGTTTTCCATACTTTAGACTTCAACATTATAACAGCTGGCCAGCAAGGGAAAGCATTCTTTTAATGAAATATATCCTAAATAATGGATTTGATTTTATCTATGTATGACGACTGATATTAGAAGTTTTTATCTGAATTAACAAATTTGTTATTCAGAGGCCCAGTGAATTCAGTGGATCATTCTCAGGCAAATGAAAGTGCAAATAAAGCTGCTTGAGTCTCCCATTTTGATAAGGCCCCAACGTAATAAGACATTCACTTAAACTATCCTTCCAATAGTTCTTTTAAAGAATATAATATATATTATCATTATGAAAAGAAGATATTGATGCCATAAAATTAAAGGCATGATATTCTCATGACGAGCAGCATCATTCTTCAATTCATCTGTAAGCTGTTTTTTCTGCCTACTTGCCATTAACTGCTGCCACAATTCTGAAGACAGCAACGAGAGAAGCCCCCCCCCTCCGGCAAGCTGATGGTAATGTCATTCCATCATGAACTGGCAGGGGGGCGGTACCAAAGCAATTTGGTCAGCAGCCATTCTCTAGAATACAATACTGATCAATCATGCTTCTGACATGTTTGGGTCTCTAGGGGAACCAGACGTTTTTGGGTGAGAGGTAGTAATGGAGAGCATAGAACTCTCAATACAGCTGAGAAATTGCTGCAATATATGCCTATGATGAGTTTAATGTGTAGCACCGTATCTTGTTTGAAGAGAAAAGTGTTTTAGTTTCTAATAAAAGAGATGGTATGACAGAAATCAATTTCTTGAACATCCCCTTCTCTCTGGTCTCTTTTCAATTCAATTTCTTAAATTAACTGAGATATCATCAGGACTGTTATATTCTAAGGTTACTACCCTTAAATAATTTTAAATAATTAAATAATAAGCTCATCACTTATATGATGATCTGCAAAAAAGGATCAAAGATGTTTAATAGATATGCAAATCACAATGTCAGCCATTAATTCTGCAGTTCTTATCTAACGTTTCCATGACGTTCAGAAAAAAGCTGATACTCAGCCTAATGGACAACCATCTCAGTCCTGTCCGTAGCCCAATAAAATCTTATCCATCACCCACATCACTAAAATGGAATGGTTCATCTTCATGGCTCTGGAACAATGTTTCAATCAAGTTCCTCTGTATCTGTCTCTAGATATGATCAGCTGTTTAAATCAGCTTGAGAAACAAGTAAACGGACGTTTTTAATCTGGTTCTTTCATGTCAGTAACTTGAATCCATTTATAAGCAACACAATGACCACTTAATGATGCTAATCTCTAAAATGTGGCCAAGATTAATTACAATACCACTGGAACTCAGGAGATATTTGGCATTAAAGGAGCATGTTTTTCTAGACAGTATTAGTAATTAGTCCAGGAATTTAAACTTCCTGAGTTTGATTCATTCACACAGGTATAGGGATCTCATGAAAACACAATACTCAGAGCTCAGAAGGCAGAGGTTGAATGAATGAATGTAGTCTAAGCAACAGGTATGTTAACCATTCCAGACTTTGAGGTATCTTATTCATTAAATTCTGTCTTCTATATAGCTTTCAATCAGAGTATTTCCTACCATACCAAGATTATGATAGAAATCTCAATTAGTAAATGTTCTTTTGTTGAATCACTGAAAGGTATAGTAGTCTTATCAAGGTCAAGACTTAGCAATAGTATTACGCTAGACTAAGATGGAAAATCCATGTAAATTGTAAGTATGAATTGTTTGCTATTAATATTTGGTGTTTATTACATTCTATATGAAACACTTGTAAATGAAAAGCTGTTCTTGAAAATAATATAGATTGAGTACATTTTTTCTACAAAGTGCAGGATGTGTAAATTATATTTTAATATAAGTCAGAATTTTTAAAAACCCTATCAGATGTACCCAAGCAAAGAGGGAGAACCATCAAAACTTGCTCTGAGTTTTGCTCCTCACTTTGCCTGGAGAAACCTCAAGGGGCAGCTGCAGTACTGCAAAGTTTGTGAACTTGCCTGATAGACACATAAAAATAGATTGTGAAAAGTAAATGGTATATTTATTTCTTGCCCAACACTAACCCCATTAATCATTAGTATTATTCATGGCAGCAGGCATGAGACAAACAAATTCATTTATCATTTTAAGGGATCACAGTCCTGCGAAATTTGAAGACCTCTGGCATAAATTAATAACCATATACTCTTGTCCATAGAGGAGTAACAGTTTGAATGACTGAGCCAAGTTTCTTATCTTTTTCCAAGTAACTAGCACCAAATTAAGCAAAGGAGCTGTTTTTAAAGGAAACAGGACACAAGGCACTGCTGAATTTAAATGAAGATCTACCTAGTCCAGCATTTAGTTTTCCAATGGTTAGTAACAGGTCTCCAGGAAATCCACAAATATTTTAAACTGATGTTCCATGAGTTGATGTTTTGAGCTACCATAGCACAAAGATTTTTCTAGATAGTAACTGGTAAGGTCATGCATTGTGCTAAATCACAATCTCATTTTAGCTTACTATGTCATATGAACTCAACCATCTGGCTTATTTAATAAGAATGGTTAAAATTGCACTATTTTGTACTGCCCTAATATGAAGTACTAAATAATTTAATGTCATCTTCAAAATTGGTGGTTTCACTATTCATCTCTAAATCCAAAATTTCTATGGTCAAGTTAAATAGCAGTAATCCAAATACAGATTTCTGGCAGACCTCACTGCTTTCTCCTGCCAATTCCAAAAACTATTCTCAGCTTCTTGTTCTTTAGTTAAGTATCCATCTTATTCTTCTATTCCGTTATATCAATGTTACATTTATTCAAGGACTTTTTGGGAGAGAATATGGCAAAATATGTTTACTATGTACTGTCCATCAGACCACTACTATCTACATGGCATTGTCATGAACATCAACAGGTTGGAGTGAGTCAGATTTTCTTTTTGCAAAAACTCAGTAGGATTCTTTTAGCAAGGTGTTTTTTTTTATGTTTCATTATTCTATCGTTAATAATACTTTACATGCATTTATTCAGATCAGGCATTGTTAGCTATGATTATTTGGATCACTTTCCATTACACCCAGGAACTCCTCTAAAAAGTAGGAATAATACAGTAGCTACTTTCCAATCTTGGGGAGCAGGAGCCAATTTGAATAATGAATTGTATATTTCTCATACAACAGAACTTTTACTATTTCAATTAAGAAATCTAGTTACGTGTTAATTTTAATCTGTTAATATTTATATCTTGCCAGATCTAAAATCTTTTCTTTACTACCAATGTCCGCATGCATCAATGAAAGCATATATTTATGCTTGAATAAATTACAAATAAAGAATTGTACAAGTTAATTGGGATCTATCCTTTTTTTAATTAATTAATTTATATATACATAATTATATATATATATAATTAAACAGTCACTATATCAAACCTTTTTTTAATTAATTAATTAATTTATATATATATATATAATTATATATATATATAATTAAACAGTCAC